ACATATTTACTATTAATAGATTTATAGCAACATTTCTTTTAAAAATTATTTTCAAAGATTGCCAGATGGCTGCTGTTGAGAGGATGGGCACAGTCATTACCTTCATGTTCTTGCTTATGTAGAGGTGGATTTGCTGTTGCCTGCTATGGGAAGTTCTAGGAAAAGGCACTGCTTGATTGAAAAGGTCGTAACTGCAGTAACCACGATGGAGAATAGAAAACAGAGCGAAAGCTTTAGAATAGAAAAGTACTATCCTAGTTCACTTCTAGGGGAAATTGAAAGTAGGTTAAGTTTGTGTTCAGTGTTCTAATCCTCTGTCCCAATATTTCCTCCCCGATCCTCACTGTGAGGTTCCCCTCACTGCAGTGCGTAAGAGCCTCAGGGAAATTTCAAGGAGTGGGGCTCAAAACGTTTTCAAAACTTGAAATCATATTATATACTGCAGTCATTTAAACTAACCTAATCATCTTTTGAATGTAAAGCACATAAGCAAAATGTAAGCACTGACTTAGAGGAAAAAAACCCATTAGCTTTAGTTTTTATAGTTTTCTAGAATGTCCTCTGGGAAGATGGAAGGCAACCCTTACAATATAACTTACTTTTAAAAACTGAAATTCATTGACACAAATTTGGCTCATTTGGAATTTCTATTATTGTCAACTTTCTATAAATTTTATTGTTATTAGATTTTAATTAGGTATTCCATTGTGAAATATTTGGAAACTGGAATGAAATTTAATAAGTCAGATTCTCTAACAGTAAAGAGAAAACAGGGGAGGTACAGAACTGAATAGACAAAAAAAAAAAAAGGAAATTATATAGCAATTAAGTAAAGTGAGAAAAAAAATCTTTGAATGGGGCAACACCTGAGGATCAGTAAAGTCCTGGAAACCCATCACAGGAAAAGGGACTGACAGCTGGCTATCAAACACATGAGCTAGAGAATGATGGCGACTTTTTCAGTGCAATCCCTGGCATGGGTCGTCAATAGCTATAATGTACAATGATATTCCACTAAATTCAGGCTTCAAGAACTTGGTTTTGGTCAACTGTAAAAATATCAAAAAGACTGACTATTCTTGGAGAATTTAGAACTATCACTTCGTATCAAAAAGGAGCTCAGAAAAATCACCAGTTGGTGTTTACATAAATCGCACACTTTTTTATTTGGGAATCAATAGAAACTACTGAATTTTAGGGGGAGCTTATTAATTTTTTTAAAGAACAAACAGTTATTGCTAGTAATCAAAATAATTTACAAGCTTTTAGTGGCTAGAAAATCAAAGGCTACAAGTGGCTAGAAGTCGAAGATTGAATAATATCCTGAGGCATAAGAAGTAAATTAACTCAAAATTTTTTGTTTTATTCTTTATAACACTGTATGTGACTCTTCTGTAAAGAAATAACATTACATGTATTTTTTTAGTTGTTGGTATAAATTGGTTTTTCTTATTCTAAAACATAAATTCAGAAAAGTAATATCAAATGTGTATTGGTCAATTCTCTGTGTCATTTTCTGACAAACAATGCTTATTAGAAATGTAAATATTTGTAATGTCCTATTATGGTAGCATACAAATTTAAAAACGTTTGGATTGGTTCACCAACCTACCTACCTACCTATAATAATTGGTGAAGGGAGTATATAGAAAAATCTAGTTGAACAAAACCAAAGGGGAAGAGCTGAGGGAGGGAAGAAGGGAGAGGGCAAGGGAAAGAGGTGGGGGGGAGGCAGAGACAAATGTATTTAAAAAGTGAATAAATTTAAAAAATGAAAAAAAAAGAAAAAAAGAAAAAATCAATCAACCTTTAGTCTCTTCACTTTTTAATTATCAGTGTTATTACATTGATATGTAATATCACCATGTTTCATAACTTTGATATTAACTACTGTTCTGTTTTTGTTAAATTGTTTTCTAAGGATTTTTAATGTTGTTATAAATCAAATTGTTCTCTTAATTTCACATTCAGGGATTCTTTTGGTACTATATAAAAATAAAATTGTTTTTTCTGTTTTCAAAAAAAAAGGCACAAAAATGCAATGAAATAGAAAAAAAATAAGTATATTCTTTGAAAGTTTTTTTTTTTAGTCACACTAAGAAAAACTAAAATAACCTCTTTCTATTAGAGGGTTTATTAACATAAAATCCTTAAAGCTATGTTCAGCTGAAGTGCAATACATCACACCTTCGATTAACTACTGAACCCTTTTAAATATTTTTACTAAAATAATGGGCAACACATACTTGTGCTGTGTATTTGAGAGCATTAAACTGATGGTAGCAAAAATAAACAAATATAAGGAGCAGAACAAATAAAAAAATTAACTACACAAAAGAAAAAAGTAATATTTGAGCTAATAAAATAAAAGCACAAAAAAGCTTAGTCATAGGCACAGGTAAACCATTATTAGCATAAAAATTTCCACTGAAAATGTGAAGGTTACTTTTTTGAATTTACTTTAATTTCTAAGTTAAATATTTCAATTTAGAAATAGAGGATTATTTATCTTGAGATTATTTAAATAGAAACAGAAGCCAAGTAAACTAATATGAAACTGTAAAATACAATATGCCAATTTTTTTAATTAAAACCTGTTAAAGTACTGATTCAAATTTGTATTGTGAATAAAAGAACTGATAAACGAGTTTCTTTTTGTTTAGGTCTTAGTTTCTGTCCCTAAGAGGGAAGATACTTTTGTTCTTTTATGTATTGAAAGCATTTAATATGTATTTATTAAATAAAGGCATTAATGAATCAAATTAATTAATCAATGAAATAATATTTTAACTAATCCTTCAAATTCATGTTTTAAAGTAAGAGTCAGTCTCCTATATAATTCATAGATTACCTATGTGTGGCTTTCCAATACATAATAGCTGGTATTTATTAAGGATGTGTGGAAACTGTTTTACAGGCGACCTTTCTATTGGCATTCTTACTATCAGACTAGCAATATGTGTGTGATACTAAGTAAAATATGTGCCAAATATATTTTATTTTAATAACAATAAATTCCTTTTGAAAATATTACTTTTTGATTTCAAAAACATTTCTTATCAGATTTCAGTGTAAATTATATTTTCAAACATAAATAAAATAGCTTTCTTTTTCTATAGGGTTTTTTGTCATGTTCATCAAATACACTGCTCAGTTAATGAATGAAAAGGAATTAAAGTATTAATGTGAGCAGCAGTGTACCGTTTTTGTTTTTGTTTAACAAAGTTTCTCATGAAGATATGTAAACTCTTTACTTACTAAATGCAGCTTTACAATAGTGGTCAAAAATAATCTGTTTAATTACTTCATTGTACACATAGATGGGCCTATCTAATGCTGTACATTCATTTGTATATCAAGGTTCAACAAAACATTATTTAAACTGTATCTAAAAGGCTCATATGTAATACTGCATAGTAACAACCCATCAAGGCCACTGAAGTTACTTTAAGTAAACATTAAATTTGCAGGAACTGTAAGTATGAGTATTTAAATAACTTTTGTTAAAAATAATTTAAAAAACAATACGCATTGCTACAAAGAAAATTGAGATGGTAAAAGGTCAGAAAAAAGTTACCTATCTGGCACTTCTTAGAAAAGAAGGCTTTGGGGAGGTGAAATTTAAGATAAATCCAACATAACTATAGTCAGTGCCTAAATACACACACACACACACACACACACACACATATATGCATATATACATATATATTTCTGTACTGAATATATGTTTTGTACTAAAATTTCAACAAGATTAGAAAAGTTAGTAAAATTATATCTGCTATCTGTTCAGACAGCGGTCCTGGATCTTTTTGGTTTCAGGGGGTGGGAAGAGGAGGCGGAACTCAGGCTCAGGTGATAATGCCAGCGAACTCATCCACAGCTCACCTGCTTGCTGTGTGGCCTGGTTCCCGACAAGCTGGCCTGGTACTGGTCCTTAGTCAACCCAGAGGTTTGGGTCCCCTGTTCTAAGATGTATGTGATAAGACAGAGTGCACTACAGACAAAAATTTGCTTTCCATGAATCATCAATTAATAAATGATTTAGCAGCTCTGCTCACATTGTATAAATTTAGTTTCTCATTAAAAAACTTACATGATAAATATTAAATATTTAAAAATTGTGACTATTTTTTAAAACTAATATTAACTAATATACATCTGTAATTCTGAAATGCAGTTTATAAAACAATTCTTTTGATTTATTATAATTGGAGATTAAAGAAAAAAAAATACCCTACTCACAGCCTGTAATTCATACACTTGAAAGTAGTTTAATTCCCTTTGGGTAAGTCATTAGTAAATATTCCATTGTGTTTGAAACAATACAAATGTCAAAATTAATAAAAAGATGTGTCAAATGAATAAATTGAAGATAGACTTTTAGAATATATATACTTATTAAAAAGTATTTCTGTTTATTCTGAGTAAAAAGTTCATACTTATTTGATATCCTTGAATACTCTGATGTAAATCAAAAAAATAAAAAGTCATAACTCTGGTTAAGCTGTTATTTTACTACTAAAAACTACTGAAATACTAAAATACACACTAAAAAAAAAACAAACCGTATGCTAAGAGCTAGAGCATTACAATCAAGTTTTCATTTCACCTAAAAGTGTTGAGTGTACTATTTTAATCCTATAAATTAGTAAATTAAAATGTGCATATCTAGCTAATATATGCCATATTTTCCTTGTTAGTAAAATGCAAAATAGAAAAAGTTAGGGAGCATTCATGAAAATAACAAATTTAGTGACTTTAATCAAATTCTCATTTTAAGAAGATTAAAGATCATTATCCATGGCCATCCTTATTCTGTTTTTTACTGAGGTACTTGAATAGTTGCTTTTTGTCCGGGACAAACTTGGGATTTGCTGTTTCTTTTGATACAACATTAATGGTCCATTCCACCTTAATCAGCCGCAACTCTAGTACTAACAGGTTTGTAATGATTGCTTAAGCTTTACACTTGGTAAACATTGGAAGGCTTCACTCACCTTGTTCAAGTGGTTGGCTTTTAGTTGAAGTAGTTTTCATCTTGAGTGCCTCCCTAACAGACATGTCACAGCAGGAGCCTTTGTTAGTGTCTTGGTCACTGTCAGCCTGATCACTGTCCCCGTGCCCACTGTCTCTCAGGCTGGCTCTTTCTGGGTCCTTAAACGTGGAGCTACTGAAATACATACAAAGAAAAAGAAGAGAAAGTGTTGTCTCTACGAGTTGGAATCTGAAGTGTAGTCTCTTGCAAAGCAATTTTGACATGAATGCAAATGGGGAAGCTGAGAAAGTTATTTAATAGGCCTTACCTTTGAACAAACTGCTGCCTGCTGCCCATGTAATTGGGCTCTGCGGGAAAATTGTCTGTCTGTGAAAGAGAAGGAAAAAAATACGTATAGTTGTACACTGGACAAATCTCCTGCAGAGCAACAAGATTTCCTAGTGGAAAAATGATTAATAATTCAAAAATTCCCTTTAATCTTCAGATTTGTACATTTTAATTAAATTGGAAATTGCTGACATGTAATTATGTACTCAGAACAATTAAATGATTCCGGTCCACAAATTACCTGTTAAAGTAAACAATGAGCCTGTCATAACTGGCATTCTCAGTTAGCACCAGAATGGATAACACTGTGTTGTTTCATTATTTAGATATTAAGATTGAATATTTGTGGGAGGAGTAGAAAAATGACCTAATTTCTCCATATTAAAAGTGTGAATTATTTAATAATACTCATTTTTAACATAATTACATAATCTGCTGGGATTCTATGCCTCCCTTGATGTAATACCGTTTTGAAGTCATCCACTCCTCAATGAAGATTTTCAGGTCTTTTCTTTCAAATTACCAGAGAGGAAGGAAGCTGGGGGGAGGTAGAAATGTGTATAGGGGGGATACACATAATACTATATACATATAATGTATTTTAGAGTTGTACACCTGAAGCCTATGTAATTTTATTAATCAATGTCACCCCAATAAATTCAATAAAAATAAATATATAAGCATGGCACATATAATTCATTCTCATCTACATCCTTACTATTGTAATTGCACTCAAACAAGACAACAAGAAAAGGTGTTACTTCCTGGTTATTAAAACAAAGTAAAAGAAAAACAAGAAATAAAGTGTTACTTAAAACATTGAGAGTAAAGACATTGAGAAACCAGGCTTGTTTTCATGGTTGTTTTTACTGCTTCCAAACTGACGTGGAGATCTGCCAAAAAGAACTGAATTCTCCTTGTATAGTGGAACAGAGTCTTTTGGGAGAAAGAGACTAGATCTTTCATAAATCTCCCTATACTGTACATTCATATGCGTTACTTCTTCTTGCAGCTGACTCCAGGACAAAGGTTCTCCTGTTTTCTGCATCACTTCATATCACACCATTATGCTCTGAAGCAGCTATGGGTTCCTACAAGATCATCCAGCATGCAAGTATCAGTGGCACAGGAGCATGCAATTCATGAAGCAGAGGGCCCAAGGTAAGGCTTAATATAGTGCAATATGTGTTTTCTGGATAAATAAGGCTAATTTAAATTAACAGTACTCTTTTTTCTTCCCATGTGATGATTTAAATTATTTGGCTTTTCAAACTATTACTGGAAAAAAAAAAAGAAACATGTTAAGAGTAACAGCTTAAAGCATTAAGTTTCAATGTCTGGTAGAAGTTGGGAGACAGAAAAAAATTAATAAGATATCACAGATATCTTAATTCATAATCTTTTGTGGTTGTTGAAATGAATTTTATCAGAATAAATGTAAAGGTAAGGGTAAACAAGGTCGTTTCATTTCTCAATCCTAATCTGCTTTCACTAGCAGTTGGTAGCAGACATTTTTCATTAATGTGTTTTACTTTATTCTATATTCTGTGAAGCCCTTTAATTTTTCTCAAAATGACAAACTATCAGTTTTAAGGATAACTTAAAGATACAATAAAAACAATAGTGAAAACCAACACCAGGGGCAAAAATGTTTGCAAAAGAGTTTTTCCAATATTTAAAACTATAATTATTAGAAATTCCACATTTTAATTTAATGAAATCTAGTTCATCTTTCGAATTGGTCAAAAATGTGTATCCAACCTAATGCTGTCGTCATTTAAAAAGCTAAGGAGGAATGTCTTACATGTCAGAAAAAGAGAATCCTGGGCATTAAGGAGAAAGTAAAATGTAACCTGACAGCAGAAACTCTAGTTAGAAAGTATAAGTGCTATTATAATAAGTAATCTTGTGATTTTAATGGATTTAATTAGGTGGAGCCTCATAAGAAGTAAACTTGTACTCAGTTCGACACAGAGAGACACATTGGGGAAACTATTCTTTCCCTGTGCTAATCAGGATAGTGTCTAAAAATATTTTCAATTTATTAAAGTTCTAAGGAGTTTTAATAAAATAAGAGACTTAAACTAAAAAATAAAGTACATTTTCTCATTGAGCGAAAAGGTGATTTTAGATATATGTGTGTGAAAAAGCATGTGTTTATGTATATTTTCATGTACTTATCAGTGTCATATAAACAATGGGAAATGGTATTGCTACCAAATACTCTTGATAAAAACAGAAAAACAGAGAAAGTTAGAAAAGAAGTGATTTTAAAGGGAAAAAGAAGAAAAATAACAGCAGTAGAGAAAGGCAAGAAAAAAATCAAGAAGAGCAAAAAGAGAAAAACAAATGTATATATAAAAAAGAAAGAATAGAGGAGTTAAAACAACAAAAAATAGAAATTGGTTTATTATTGTAGAATTTCACAATGTACAATTTTAAAAATGTTTAACTTAATCAGTGGCAAAGAATCAGAAGTTTACCAATAATGCCTGCATTCTTTTATTAAAATAGGCAAAAGCAGATACATAGAGCAGACCGACATATCTCAGAGGAGAGGGAAATGGGAAAACTGGAAGAGATTAGCCAAAGAACATGCAGTATATGCATTTATGTGTAGCCCATGGACACAGAACTATCTGGCAAAGGCCAGTGGGGGTGGGTAATAGGGGACATCTGTGACAGTGTCAACAATAAAAAAATAGATAAGAATGTGAGAGACCGTGTGTGTATTTATAGTTATCATAAAGAAATATCCATTTGGCCTTAATAAACATATAACTAATTCACTATAAAAAACAAACAAACACTGTCTTTATTATAAAAAGTAATATTTTCAGTATCCAGGCTCCAGGGATGTCAGGCAACTCATTTAAAATAATCTGAATATAAAATAACAGTATTTGCATAGGAGAATGAAAAATTGAGAAAAATAGCCATATGTATCAATATCACAATGTCATTTAGAAGTAAAAGGGCTTTCAAATATTTTTCAATACTGTACTCTGAAAACTGAGTTCTACTTAGGACATTTATAAATTATCTTTCAAGTCTAGGAGAAAAATAAAATTTGAGGTCACACACTTGTAGCTTTTTAAGTCTCAGCAGAGTAATTAAATGTGCATATTTATAACTCCTGAAAACTTCATCTTCTTCTGCACGAACTAACCTCTAAACTGTTTCCCCTTCACACTCAACTATTATTATTTTTAATATAACTATTATTTTTAAAAATATATAATTTATTATTAAAAATGTGTACCTTAAATTGGGCAATTACAGAGTAGTTCTGAAGTAGATACTTTAGATATCGGTTTAACCTATTTCAAAGTCAGGAATAAAGGACAGAACTTTGGGTTTTTTGTGAGTGATTATTTGTTTACAATAGAAAAGATTTCAACTTATGAAACAGAGGATACCTTTCTATTTTGCCTTTTTTCTGTTTATTTTCTTCGATAAAGGTAATAAAAATTTAGATTTTCTTTTACTTTTTTTGTATAGAAAACACAAAGAAATAAAAAAGTTTTGAAGCAAACCTACAAAGTAGATATGAATGGTGTCTTGAATTATTTGCCTTTATGTTTTTTCCTAATAGTACTCAGTAAACTGTAGGAAATAGATGTTACATTCAAAATCAGAATTTTTATCAGTAGTAGTTCATAATAAAATGTCATCTCTAATTTGCTCATCGTTTTAGAAATATAAAGTCACAATATGATTTTAAAAAAATGTCTCTACGAAAGCAGAAAGGGAGCAACTACTAAAACTGAAACAAGCTGGCTAATATTGGGACAGATCTTTATTTGTGGAAGTAGATTAATTTGATACAGCCACTGACATGTGTCTAAAGAAGTTGAACTGAGAATGCCTAGTAAAAGGAGTCAAAATAGTTTTTTAAGTATTAATATATTAAAATTAGAAATTTTAAATACTTATCTAGCATTTGACAAATTCAACATTTATTAATGATAAAATTCTCAGCAAGTAAGAATAAAAGAAAACTTCCTCAATTGTATAAAGGGCATCTACCAAAAAAAAAGTTATAACTAATGTAATATTAGTGAAAGACTGAAAAATTTCACCACTTGTATTAATCATTGTACTAAAAGTCTTAATAAATTCAATCAAGCAAAACAAAGAAATGAGGACATACAAATTAGAAATGAAGGGAAAAAATTACACACAATGTTATGGTATCCACAAATAGTATTATGTAGATAAAAAATAGGAAGGAATCAAAACAAAGAAAATTTCTTAGAAGTAATAACTAGTTAAGCAAAGCTGCCATATTCAAGGTCTCTTACACACACACAAAAAAACTATCACATTTCTGTATTCTAGCTATAAACTAGTGGGGATCAAAATTTCAAAAGTAACACATTTAGAATACCTCCCTGAAGATCAAATACTTAGCAAATAAGTACTTATACAACAAAAACCAGTATAGAATCTGTATGCTGAACATTACAAAAACTGATCAAATAAATCAAAAAAGCCTATATAATGGAGAGGCATATCATGTTTATTACCAAAGACACAACATGGTAAAGATGTCAATGCTCCTCAAGTACTCTATTCATGTAACATAATTCCATTCAAATTCGAAGCTCAATTTCCTGTACATACAGACAAGAGGATTTAAAATGTATTTGGAAAAGAAGGAAATGTAATAACTAAAATAATTTTTAAAAAGAAGAATGAAGTTGAAGGAGTTACAGTACCCCATTCTAAGAGTTACTGTGAAGGAACACTATCAAGACAATACAGTAATGTTGATGTAAAAGATACGCAAATAGAGTCAATTGATTTCTGACAAAGTTGCAAAAGGCAATTCAACAGATAATTTAAAAGAAATGAATCTCAACCTACACCTAGCACTTTATTTTTATAAAAAGCAAAACTAGCCCTTGCTGGTGTGACTCAGTGGATAGAGTGACAGCTTGTGAAACAAAAGGTCACTGGTTCAATTCCCAGTCAGGGCACATGCCTGGGTTGCAGGCTGGTTCACCGGTGGTGGGTGTACGAGGGGCAACCACACA